TTGCATCGTCAGCGTGAGGAAAACCACCGTATCAGTGACCGCCTTTTTATTTATTTATTTCTCCAAGGTTTCACCGAAAACTTCAACGGCCACCGCTGCGAGTGTTATGGACTCCTGGTTTGGTCACTTTTCCTTCTCCTAGCCTGTGCGCATTCCGTGACTCCGTTTCTCTCTCCTCCGGTCTTTCAGCCCACTCTTCTTCCTTCACACTGTCACTTGCAAAAATGTTTTCCTTGTGGTTGAAGCACATAATACACGCTGCCTCCTTTTCTTCTTTATGCACATTTTTTGAAAGTCTCGTTGCTGGAAGAAAACTGTATTCATGAAGCTGTAGGATACGAAGTAATCCGGTCGGATAACAGAAGATAGATATACACCAACGTTTGTAATTTGGCAAGTCAGATAATGCCAGAGTGTTAGGAATAATTTGCTTAAGTGCTAAAGGAGTGGACTATGGGTAATAGGTAATTGACTCCCGAACAGTTGCAGTCCAGCCATGAGCGGTCAAGGTCCATAGTCGCAATCCGGCAGTGAGGTCGCCGGGTTCGGATGTCTGCAGACCGGCAGCGAGGTCGCCGGGTCCGGGAGTGTCTGAACGCAGGCAGTCACGCAATAAGGCCCTTTGTGAACTGGTCTTGGGAAGTTATTGGCAACTTACGGCAAACAGAGAATGTAGACACGTCCGTGACCGTAACCTGCCTTTTACAAGCTCTAGTGCGCACGTGCTTAGTGGACATGAGAGACACACATGAGGCCTGCCCCAGACACGTGCGAGGAGAGCATGGCTTATAATACGAGATCACTGCAAGGTTTAGGGATGCGCTTCTGTACCTAAAAGCTTCGCCGCTTGTGTGTATTCGCAGCAGGGAGGGTGGGCCCTGACCAGTCATTTCTGACTCGGTAGTCCCGCAATCAAGCGAGACGATAACTTCTAACGCTCGAAGGACAGAAGCGATCTGCCTACGAGGTGGCTGGCACTGGAATCCATTCGTGTCACATCGACAGGCAACGAGCCGTGGTTCAGTGTTTGTAGCGGAGGACTTCTAATCAACAGGCCGCGGACTAGGTCCTCGAGCTGGGGCCGGCTATGGCTGGGTGATGATGGCTTAATGGTCAGAAAGGACGATTGCCGTCCGTTTGTGATTGTCGGTTGCTTAACTGGTGGTTTGTTAGCCAGTGTAAATGGATGTTTAATTGTGTTGAAAGTGGTCGAAGACTTTTAAATTTAAGCTACTTATAGTTGTTTTAGTGAGGTAAATTTAATCAACTCCATCAACATAAATTGCTTTTGA